GGAAATCACATTCCTTAATATTCACTATCTTAGTGCGTTTCCTTCAAAATGATCTGCCTTTGGGCTAATAACTCTTATCTATTGAATATTCAATGAATAGTTTCCTGCTATGTAAACTTCTCTAAACTTCAAGTAACTTGCTGTGTTTTTTCCCTTTATGGACTGTAAAGGAAATTGATAACATCATGTAGATGCATAGATTGAGGCAAAAATATCAACATTATATATCCTAAACTTCGTTGAAGTCCAGGAAAGTTTTTCCTTAATAATAGCTTTTCTTCTTTTAACCCTATCTTCATATTAATCCTCTTATTCATTGCCTATGGCTGCTATAGCAAATTACCCCAAACTTGGTGGCTTAAATCAAGAGTTCTAAAAGTCCAAAAACAAAATGTGAACGGGGCCACCTTCCTTCCTTAGGCTCCAGGTCCTTATTTCTGCCAGCTTCTGATGTCCCTTGCAGTCCTTGGCTTGTTCAGCATTGCCTCCAGTCTCTGGCCCCGTCTTCACATGGCCTTCCCGCTGTGTCTCTGTCTCCTCCTCTTTCCTATCTAAGGAAGGACGCTCATGAGATATATTGGAGGGAAAACATAAACGTGACTAGATCGAGAATGCCTCATTTCTGCCGCATCAGCAATGCTCTCGTCCAGTGATCTCATCTTTATTGTCAATCATATCTCCAAAGACCCTGTTTTCAAATGAGGTCATGCCCTGCGGATCTGGGTGGGCATGAAGTTAGGGGGACACTTTTCAACCCACTGCAAACCTATTTAAAAGCCGGAATGGAATCCAAGGGATATTTCTGATTTGTAGTAAAACAAATTCCCTTGGCCAGATGCCCTACAAGAAAAAAAGTGGTAATAATGAGCCCTACAGCTGTTTCCAGTGAAGTTGGCCCACCTGCCTGTGACGAAGCAACTGTACTTCCCAGCTTCGGCTGGAAGGGCCTTTGTCCGGTTGGCTGAGCCCTTGCCTTCCCTTGACAGGAGGAAAGTCTGCCAGTGATTAAGAACACTTTCTGTCCCTGTGAGAGAGGAAGGAAGGAATTAACAGAAACCAGAACACATGGAGGCCTCTAAACAGGCACGTTCCTTCCATTCAAGGTTTACTGGGTCTCCCGAGTCAGTGTGCACTAAAGTGCTTTCAGATGTTGTGGCCATCAGTGCACAGCCAGTCGGAGTGTATTTCATTTTAAATTGACTGGTTTTCTAATCTGTGAGGTAACCCTAAACCTTTTTTCTGAGAATTAGGTAAGTAGAAGTAAAGTGACTTAAGTGTAAGGGAACAAGGACCAACCCCAACTCATGGGTGCCCCTCTGTTCCCCTCCCTCCACCCCATGCCCTGTGCCATGGCTCTGAGGAACCCAAGGGCAGGGAGCCTTGTCCAGCATCCTGAGACTGGAGCGTCTGTTTCTCTCACTGGCTTGTCAGCATTTCTCTTTGACAGTGTCCTGAAGAAGAGTTGTTTACAAAAATATTGTGTGTGACCTTTGAACGTTCATTGGACAGTCATTTCCTGAGTACCTGCTTTGTCAGGCATAGTGGCCTCTTAGGCTGGGGATACAGCAATGAGTGAAGGAGACAGTGCTCTTCTGCCATAGGTGGCCCTCGGGGCTTGGCACAGGTGCCAGTAGACCTGTCCGCCCCTGTGGTCTGTCAGACTTCTCACACATTGGGTCAGTGTTTTAGAGCAACTCTTGAGAGGCAGGGAGTGGACAAGGGATGAGCCTTAAATTCTCATGAGGAAGCCTGAATGGGAAGGAAATATAGGTAGAGAATCAAGAGGAGAGGACTGTGTCATTAATTCTTTGATTCTTACAGTGTATGTTACGTGGTGTCTTTTTGCTTTTGTTTTGTTTTTGGTAGTACTGGAAATTGAACCCAAGGCCTTCATACTGAGCTATATCCCCAGCCCTATTTTATTTTTTGTGAGACAGGTTCTCACTAAGTTGTTGCCCAGGCTGATCCTCTTGCCTTGGCCTCTCAGAGTGCTGGGATTACCAGCCTGTAGCACTGAGCTCATTTTACACTGTATGACCTTTATTAAGAACTAAGATCCTGCAGTGGTGACCAGTGAGCAAATACTGCATGTGAACCGGGAACATGACATGGGCTTCCTTGCCTGCCACGTGGGCTTGTGTGGTGTTCACAACATGTTTCATGGGCAGATGTCAACGTGGAGAGAAAACATCCCTCCACATATAATCCTTATAGTTGTTTAATGTGTAAGACACTTTTTTTGCCAGAAGAGTAACAAAAAGAAGCATACTTTTAAACATCTTAAATGTTAAGGAAAAGATACAAAAGTAAAAGGCTAAATTCACACATCCTGATGGCAGAGAGCAGCACTATTATGAAAGCTAAGATCTTGGTGTTTGTTAAAACTTCTAAATTTAGGGATCGGATTTAGATGAGAAGTTGAACATCTGGTATGCCACTGAATCTGTCCGTGAATCAGTTGTAGTCTTGGAACAGGTTTGAATAAGAGACCCTTCCATCACATTCCACCTTAATGGAAAGCCCCCGGCCTGGCTATCAGCGCCACACCCTGCCTGGGTCTCCGGAAGTGCTGTTCCTAGGTCTTTTGGAAGGCCTGAGTGCGAAAGAGCCACACCTGCACTTAGAAGTGTGTGGCTGCACATCGGTATCCTAGGCCACTTTTCCGCTTTCTTCTGAGGCCTACCAGAAGAATGGAGCTGGAATCATGGGGGAGGAGGCCAGGAGCAGCTGGGCACCAGCCAGGCTTCCACCAGCGTCCGCGCCAGGAAGGGATCTTATGGAAATAATTAGATGTTGCAACCATTGAGTGCTTTTCTCTGACCTGATGTTTAATATTTCTTTTCTCTCCTTGAACAGTAACTGGGAGTCAGAAAAATGTCTGGAAATGGCCATTTTCTGTGGCCAGTTAGGGCCCAGTTCATCTGCTCCCACACTGGGGCAACGGAGCTCAGTTTGGAGCAACATAGATTTTTTTTTTTTTCTGAGACAGGTTCTCGCTATGCAGTTTAGGCTGGCCTCAAACTCACTTTGTAACCTCAGCTGGCCTTGGACTTGCAACAGTCCTCCTGCTTCAGCCTCCCAAGTGCTGAAATTACAGGCACACACCTCTACCCCTGGCAGGACATGGAATTTAGACAACTGTGAGAACCAAACAGATTCAATACTGATGTTTCAAACCTAGTAGAAAGACCAAAATTGTGAAGCAAGTGCTTGTTGGCCTCGAACACTTTTGCATATTAACATGTTCACGATGAGCCCGTAATTCATGTCTCACTACCAGGCAGCTCTGAACAGGTGGTACATACATGACTATCCCATCAGGCAGCATGGGATAGTCCCATCCGGTGGTACAGTCCACTGGTGGCTTGAGCCAGCAGAAACATGTTAGGCCAACATTTTGGCATTGTTCTGAGTTTCACAGTAAGGCAGCCATACTTCTTTTCCATGGGTAAGATAACAGTTTGCGGGTATTTATTTTGTTTGGCAGTCATTTAGCTCATAATATATGTCTTCGTATGCAAAAATAAATTGCACGTGGTCTAGTAGAGCAGTGGCCACACACATGTGGCCATATCCATTTTTAATATGTCCAAGTTTGTAAAGCTCCTTCCCTCTACCTCCAAGGTGATATTTATAAAGAACAGAATTTATGAGAGTGACTACACGTAGCTGTATAAATATCTTTCCCTTCATACTTGATTAGTGCACTACTTTGTTCCCTGCCAGGCATAGTGTGGAGGGAGCCACCAAGGAAAGAATGATTTATGTCATTGTTTTATTCTACTACAGCCATCTTTACTGCTTATCTAGTGGCGCTTCTCCTGGTAGCAATAGTAGCTGCAGATAACGTACCCTCTGCTATCAATTTCTCTCTAGACAGTCACTTACAGAATCTATGTGGGTTTGCTAAGTTTAACCTTATACAGCATTGTTTTGTTGACACTTTTATGTTGTGATTTATATAAGAATAAAAATTATGATATTGGGACTTACTATAGTAAAAAAATAGGGAAGGAAAGCAAATTCAATAAATATTCCTTGCTTCACAGGAATCTTATTTTTCCCCTAGTGCTGGGGATTAAACCCAGGGCTTCCTGCCTGCTAGGCATGTGTTCTAGTCCTGAGCTACATCCCTAGCCAAGCTGTTAAATTAGTAGGACTAACATGTCCCCACTGGCTTGTACCACCAGTGTGGCTGTCCCATCAGGTGACATGGGGCAATCACATGAGGTGGTACAAGCCACCCAGCAGCAAAACATACAAATTATGGCCCCATCATGAACATGTTAAAGTATCTAACTGGATGTGTGAAACTTGCAGTATCACCTAGGCTAACCTATAAAGTGGCAAGTCCAATCCTGCCATGAGGAGACCAACCGTCTAGTGCAGATCTGTTAATGTAGCAGGCAGATTAGAAGTCAGAGCCCTCCATTCCATTGGTACAATTGCCATTTCTGTGCCCTTTTACCATTAGCAAGTATTGAATCATTTAATCTGTTGTTGCCTAGTATGATTTGTGTCTTGAATCTGTGCAGGGATTGTCAGTGATTGTTGCAATCTGTACTTATGAGGGCTTATTGTTTTCTAGTCAGTACCTCTTTCAGAGGGGTGGTTATTTTTTTCTCCACTACCTCATTTGTCATGTGAAGTACTTCTTCCAACTCTGGACTTCGCAGGAAGCCCTTAGTTCCCATACTGCCCTGGTGCACACCATCAGCCTTCCGTGGCTGTGCAGGTTGGGGGCAGCTATGCAAGTAAGAGCCCCAAGTGGCTTCATATTCTCCTGTATTTCTAGGGCATGAGGCAGAGATTTGGTGGCTTGAAGACCCTGGTTCCTTGCCGGGTCATGCCTCAGGATCCCTCTCCACTGGCACAGTTGGGTCCAAGGGAAAGCCAAGGATCCTTAGGGGCCCCGGCAAGGTGGCAGTGGCGCACTCCTCCTATACGTGTGTGTGTGTGTGTGTGTGTGTACACAAGCTCATGTTCCTGTCTGTTCCCAGGGCGCCAGCAGCAGCTGGAGGCAAAGCGCCTGGATGAGTACGTGAACGCTGACCATGACCTGTACTACAACAACCGCAGGACCGCAGAGCCCCCAACCGAGAGTCCGGGTGAGCGGCGCCAGGCCGAAATGAAGTGCTTGTATGGGGTCAGCGCTCCCAAGATCCTGGCCATGGAGACTGCAGTGCAGCTGAGCTTTGACAAGCACTGTGACAGAAAGCAGCCCAAGTACTGGCCTGTCATTCCCTTGAAGTTCTGAGCCTTGAGCACAAGGCCCCCAGGGAATGCTTCCGGAACAGTCCCCAGCCTCACCCCTGCCTTTTTTTTTTTTTTTTGGAACCGAGGATCAAACTCCGGTCCTTGTGCTTGTGAGGCAGGCGCTGGAACCACTGAGCGAAATCCCCGGCCCCCTGCCTTTTTTTTAAGATAAACTCTTTTCATCTCTTCTGTGCATTTCTCAGGGAAAGAGGCCTTTATACTGAGAGATAAGCATGTTCCCCAAAGGCCCACTGGGCCTCTCAGGGACTGTGTACTATATTAGCTTCCCTATTGCTAGAACAAAATACCTGACACTTACAATCTGTTTGGGTTCATGGTTTGGGAATGTTCAGTCTAAGGTAGAAACAGCCTGCCGGAAAGACATGGAGAAAAACTGCTTACCCTATGGCAGCCATGAGGCAGAGAGAGAAGGAGGGAGGGGTGGCGGATGCTTCCAGGTCATGCCCTCAGTGACCACCCCTCCGACCAGTCCCCACCTTACAGCGTGGGAACTCATCAGCGGATGAATCCATTGGTGAATACAGCTCTGCCATGGTCCAGTCACCTTCCAAAAACCCCACCTCACCTCCAAACACATGAGATTTGTGAGGGACATTTTACATGTGAACTGTACCAGGGTGGATGTCATATGTCGGCTACTTGGAAGTCAGCAGGATGGCTACTGTTGCCAACATGAGAAACTTTCTCTTGACAAAATGAAATGTTTTGTCTTTTTATAAATTTTTTTAACCCACCTGGACTTTGCAAATACCTTAAGCCAGATGTTCTGTCTGCCTTAAGCCAGTTGTTTAGCTCCCACTGAAAACGAGACATGCATGCAGTGAGACAAGTACCACTTCTTTCTAATGCATGGCCTGGCCTGGCTGCTTGGTAAAGGGCCAGAGAATAAGTACTTTTGGTTTTGCAGGCCACAGGGTCTGCGCCGCAAATGCCCTCAGGGTGTGAAAACAGTCATAGAGGGTAACAAAACAAACTGGGTTCCAATAAAACTTTATTTGTGAAAACAAGCATAGCGGAGGCCAGCCTAGGCAACTTAGCAAAATAAAAAATGATACAGACTGGTAGTGTAGCTCAGTGGTAGAGCATGCCTGGGTTCAATGCCCAGTACCAAGGGAGAAAAGGCATGGTCTACAGGTGGTAGTTGTACCAACTGCTGCTCTAGCGGAGTGAGAGTCTCCTGTCTGACATTAGTGTTATCTTTTTTTCTCTACAGAGCATTAATGTCATACAAAATTGAAAGCAAAGTATAATTCCCAAGCTTGGCCACTTCTGTAGTCTCTGTTACAGAGAAGGCACAATTGAGCTGGGACTCTATATAGCAAATATTGTTTTGATAAAGGAATGCATTTCTGAGAATGAAAATCTAAAAATTGATGGGACAGTCCATTTGTAAAAAGCAGCTGCCTCTTAAATAAGTTATTACAGTCCATTGCCAGGGTGAGCTGTGTTGACCCGACAAGATTAGCACATCCATCAAAGGTTAGGGAAAAGATTTAGTCTTGACGCGTTTCTCCCTAAGAACACAGCTTCGCATTCAGCCCCTGCCCTGAGCCAAATCCATTACTTTCATCAGCCCCAGGTGTTTAGTTTTCCAAGCTCTCATTTTATTACTGGAGTTGCAATTTGTCCTTAGGTTGTTGCAGACAAAGTCAGAATTCACTTGCCCCTGAGGTGACACATGACTAGAATTTCCTATCTTTAGTATTTCTCCTTTTCACTGGAAACTCATAGGCCTAGGTGTAAAATAAATGTGACTCAAACACATGCAAAGCAAAGCCATCCTTGCAGCAGGGGCTTAGCTCTTTGGGAGTGAGCACTTCTGTTTACCTCAGACTCACAACCTCCCAAAGAATACATCATGTGGTCCCACCCCTTGCTGGCTTTGTCATCTTACGTGGCAGTTACTTTGACCTCTAGGTTGTCTTCCCTTCCTCAAAGTGAGTGTTAATACCACTACCCCTTCATGAGGTCATGACGAGGACCACGTTGCGTAGTGCCTGTGAAACACAGTGCTGGCTACACGGTCAGTAATCAATATCGATTTATTCCCTGTCTTTAAAACGTGCCGGGGGAGTCTAGGATTTACACTGAAATAGGGAGAACTGTTTCCCTGGCAGCTCTCGAACTGATGTGTCGCCTTCTGGGCGACTTATCCCCCCCTCCCTGTTTTTCCTCCCAGGTGTCCCTCGGGGCACCAGTGACTTATTTGTTCAGCACATATTTGAGTCTTCTTCATCCAGTTGGCTACACCATCCTCTCTGCCCTTGGGGATGGCACTGGGGGCTCAAGGGAGGCAGCCAGGCAGCTGTGACAGCAGTTGCATCTGTACACTGGTATAGGCAACCAAAAGAGCTAACTGGGGCTTCTCAGCCTGTGCACTACTGATATTTGGGGCCAGAGCATTCTCTGTTGAGGGGCGAAGAAGCTTCCTGTGCATTGTAGGGTGTTTAGCAGCGTCACTGACCTCTACCCACAAGATGCCGATGGCACCCCCACCACCATTGTGACAACCAAGCACGCCTCCAGACCTTGTCACAGACTGAGAAGGGAGGCAGAATCTGCGTATGGGAAACTCCCAGTTGTTTGGAGACTCGAGGACAGTTCAGCACTGGCTACAGAGAACACGACACGCAGGTACTGCTCAGATCGCAATGGGGGCTTCCCAACGTGAAGGAAACTGAGAGAATCCTGACCGGGAAACAGCACAGACCCACTGAAGAAAGGGCTAGATGCAGAAGGAAGGATGTTGGCCAGCGTGACCCGGAATCAGCCTATCAGGTGACTCAGCTAAACCCTCAGCGTGCTCCAGAGAAGCCACACAGCTAGGGTTGCTTTGATGACAAGAGTCAGACTTCTCAAGGTCCGATTGTTCAGTGTACCTGAGAAGTGTTAAGATGAGACTTTGATCTCTATGGGCCCCAGTCTAGTTTTTTTTTTCCTCTTACCCTCTTTTCTAAATCCCATTTTTGCTTCTGTTTGGGAGCAACTGTCCAGTGGCTTTTATCCTCTGTGTGTATGACCGAATATTTGCATACCTAGTTCTAATTAATTGTCCCTGGCTCTTTGGGCAACTGTAGAAAAATCTGTAGATGGCTCAACTGATAGGAACACAGGTTGGAAGTGCCAATGTCTGCTGGGTAAAAAACCTCTTTTTTCTCTCTAGGTAGAGAGAGAGCACGTAACACTGACACCAACTGTGGGGTCACCCCCAGCACAAAGCAGCTCTTCAGTGGCCACTAGCTGGGTGTCATGTGACACTATCTGTCTGGAATTACCATCAGATCCCACAAGACTGCCCCTGCTTCAGTTGCCAGTACCACAAAAATAAATAAATATGACCAAGGATACAGCTGAAGAACTAGGCAGAAGTAGTGCAGGTGCAGCATGGAAGAGGGGCAAAGAGGTGGCATGCTTTCCTGGGTACGCCACCCTCCAGGCCACTATACGTTCAGCTATCTAGAAGCCCTCAATGCTTCATTGTGTAGATGCGACTGATTAAATCATTGGCCATTGGTGGAAGTTTTTTTCTGGGGGTTTTTGTGGCACTGGGAATTGAACTCAGGGGTGCTGTACTATTGAACCACGTCCCTAGCCTCCTTTTTCATGTTTTTCTTTTGAGACAGGGTCTCACAAAGTTGCCCAGGGAGAATTTGAACTTGCGATCCTCCTGCCTCAGCCTCCCAAAATGTTGGGATTATAGGTACGCACCACTACACCTGGCTAAAGGGAGGTTTTTAGGACAAAAATGAGAATCCCATCATATATTTTGAAGTAATAATCCTTTGCCACAGTGATCAAGAACCACAGTGACATTGGTCCAAGCTTGAACAGAGTTGCTGGGCAGTACTTGTCGCATAAGGTTGCAGTGGCCTTTGTGTAAGTTTGTGATCCTGGCAGACTCTTTTATGATGTTAACTATCAGCCAGTTGTGCATAAAAACCCTTCCTTTATAATGGCCCCGTTTAATTTCTTTTTTTTTGTATTAAATTCTTTTATTGGTACATTGTAGGTATACAACACAATTATGGGAATTGTACCTTTACATAATGCATCTTGGTTCTTATTTTTTCCCCATTCCTAGCCCTCCCTTCACGCCCTCCACCCTTCCCTATTTACAAAGACTTTATTTCCATTTTTTCCATTTCTCATCATTTTTTCCTTTCCCTTCTTTCCTTTCCCCTGCCCCTCCCACTACCCCTACCCCTTTGGACCTTTTCTTCCTGTTTTGCATTATCGATTATCCATTCTAATCATTGGTACATTTTAGGTATACAATATAATGACATTCATCATTGGAAATTTGCACCTTTACATAGTCTCTCTTGGTTCTTATTTTTCACCCTTGCCCAGCCCTCCCTTCAACCCCTCCAGTCCTCCCGTTTAATTTCTTTGTCTAGTTATTTTTGTTGAGGTTGACACAAGGGACTCCATGTTGATTCTGACAACTTTCACACCTTTAATCACATGTTCAGTTCCCCTGGCAAACAGCCCCCATCCTGGGGCTTTTCAGGATCCCAAGAGCTGCCTCGTTCAAACAATAGATGCCTCCATCACGCAAGAAATTCCAAAGGATTTAGGAGCTCTGTGTCAGGAGCCCGAGTCAAAAACCAAATGTTAGAACAAAATGTTCTTCTAGAGCCCCTGTCTCCAAAGGGTTGTAGGAGCCAGGGGCAGAGACCAAATATGTGTTTCTTACTCTATCACAATATCCCACAGTGGGGGCAGGCAGACCACTTGCAGGCCTATGACAGAAAAGATACTCAACACCACTGGTAATCAGAGAGCTGCTAATTAAAATAAGCGTGATATTTCATGCCCTTCCAATAGGCAAATGCTTAAAAACCCACATTGAGAAAAGGTCCAAAGGGGTAGGGGAAGTGGGAGGGGAAGGGGAAAGGAAAAATTATGAGAAAAGGAAAAAATGGAAACAAAGTCTTTGTAAATAGGGAAGGGTTGAGGGCGTGAAGGGAGGGCAGGGGAAGGGGGAAAAATAACAGCCAAGATACATCATGTACAGGTACAAGCACCCAATGATAAATGTAAATGTATTGTATACCTAAAATGTACCAATAAAAGAATTTAAGCAAATAGTGTAAAAAAAAAAACCCACATTGAGGTAGGAGTGTAAGAAGTCCTGATTTAGGATCAATCGAATGGCCTTTTAGAGAGGCCAGCTTTGCCGCTGAGGGGAACACAGACTGGAAGTCCCAAAGAGAAGAGCACGGTGACATTTTCCTATAAAGTTAGAACATACACGTGTGACATGGTTTACATCAGCCTCCTGCACTCATAGGCGGGGCTTCTGAAAGGTGAATGGATTGTGGGGGCTTAGAGCTGACTTGCTGTCAGGAGGTGGGGTCTGGTCAGAAGGGGCGGGTCACTGAGGGCGTGGCCTGGAAGGGTTTCTCTCCCTCCCAGCCTCTCCCTTCACTCTCTGCTTTGGCCGCCATGCCTTGAGCAGCTTTTCTCTGCCACCCCGGTGCCATGCTGCTTCTGCCTTGGAGCCCGCCAACTATGGACTGAAACCTCTACAAACTGAACCAAAATAAACTCCTCGGTTAAGCTGTAGGTGCCGGGTACTGTGTCTCAGTACAAGGAAAATGACTAAGACTATGCATGACCCCACAATTCTCTTTCCTAGTGTATGCCCAAGAGATGGCCTGGCATATGAGCACAGGGAGGTGCACGCAAGAATAGTTACTGCAACCCAGTAAAGAGCAAATAATAGAAACCAAATTAAGTGGCCACCTGTGAGACCCAGGTAAGTAAACGAGAATCTTCACAGAGTGGTAATAGTATACTGAGCCCTTAAAGGAACTACACTACATGTGGGATAATGGTAGCAGTGAGTTATGCCAAAAGGAAGTTGTATAGGTATAATACGATCCTATTTATATAAAGCTTCTAAGACATACTATAGACACATATGTGGACTGAAATCTGGAAACCAGGTTGGAAATGATTCGCACGCACGTGCATTAACTTCACAATGGTGATTAGTTCTGAGCCGGGAGAAAGTTGGGGCATCATTCAACTAGGTTTCTCCTGTCTCTCTAATGTTTATTTTCTTTACAACAGAAAAGCTATGGTAATAACCCAGCTTTGATAGAAGCACCCATGTTCATGAAACTCTTTTCTGACACATCATAGTTTATCTTTCACTTCATTCCTAGTGTTAAATGTTACACGAAATGTTTATCAAATATTGTACATACATCGGGCTTTCTATGAGTCCCACACTCTTCTAATTGCTTTATGAATATTAATTTTTTAGCAATCAGTCTATGGCAAATTCAGGCAGTAGCTATGATGGGTACACAACCTGTTTTTCAGAACCTTTAGATCAGACATGTTTCAGAATTCAGACATTGTTGTACTTTTGCAAAGCAAAACAGCATATTGTAGAACTAATGCAAGGGCAGAGGGCAGCAGTTTCCCATCAAGACAGCTGTACTGTCAAAGAGACGGTTATTCTAAGTGGGGTAAAGAACAATCATAAAGATCTTCTGTATCATTCAGGTCGAGGTTTGGTCAAGGTCAAAGTTTTACTGTCAAACAAAATTAAAAAAGAAAAGCCTTTCAGAGGTTTGGGGATGTGAGAAATGTGAAGGGTTATCATTCCCATTTTGCAGACAAGGAAACCGGGGCTCAGGGAAATTAAGCAACTTAACCAAGTTCACTTCAAGTGGTGCAAGTAGACTTCAAGCCCAGATATTCGGACTCCTCAACTCCCTACTTTTAGCTGCTTTATGGTGCTGAACTCTGTCTCTGCAACTGTAAACACAAGAAGCCCAGGGTATGTAATCCTGACAGTCTGGAGGCTGAAGCAGGAGGATTGCTGCAAGTTCAAACCCAGTCTGAACTACATGGCAAGACCATGACTCATAAAACCAAACAAAACCTCAAGGACAGGATGTGCAGAGCCTTAGGGAGGATCTGGAGCTGCTTCCCACCCTCAGCATGTGTCAGGCTGGAGTCCAGGATGAGCTCCTAATCTGAGTTGGCTTGACTACGTGTGTCTCTGGAGGACGCATTTGCACTCTTGCTCCAGACTGCAGGCTGAGGCCACAGCAGTGATGAGAGGAGTATTCCAGAGGTCCTGAGGGAACAGACCTTCTTCTTGGTGGCTGGGTGATGTGGGGCAGGGTATGAAGCAATCTAGGGCGCCTCGAGTTTCTGTCTTGGATGGTTGCTCTATTCATTGGGGTGAAGAAGGCAATGAGATTTTTGAGCCCTCAGCCTTAGGAAGGTGGAAAAGGAGCAGTATGTAGGCTAAGAGGAATGGACCAGTGGGCCCTGAAGAACAATGATACCGTAAAGGTAAAGAGCAGCCTGTGCTGGGAGGTGGAAAGAAATGGCAAAAATAAAAAGGAGGAAAACCAGGAAGTAGAGGTGTCTCACAATACAATTGTGGCCAGGTGTGGTGGTGCACTCATATAATCCCAGCTACTGGGGAGCCTGAGGCAGGAGGATCATGAGTTTGCAGCCAGCCAGGGGTATGTAGTGAGAGCAAGGCCTGCCTGAACTACATAGTGAGACCCTGTTTCAAAAAACAAAACAAAAAAGTAGTACCAAGAGCTGTCATAATTTGGTTTCCTCATCAGTATACCCTTGAGTGGATTTTGTTGTTTTGTTGTTTGTTTTTCAGTGCTAGGGACAGAGCCCAGAGCCTCATTCTGGCTGATCTACACCCCCAGCCTGCTAGATATTTTGATCACTTTTCAAACAATATTACTCAGTATGAACCCCATTTGGGTTTTTTGTTTGTTTGGTTGGTTTTTGGTTTTTTGCCTAAATTGAGGAATTTAGGAACAGTTCACTGGCAAAGTTCTAGATACCCATAGACCACATTTGTACATTTTGCTCTTTATATTTTTATATGGTTCCTATAGCATATATATGATGTATATATCATTTATATCTTATACTGTATATTTATGATATCTGTACCTATCTGTAAGTATTTTACACACGTCATTATACTCTACAGCACTGGCAAGAAGTAAAGTTGCCCAAGCAGTTCTGGGTTCACACCTGAACACATTAAATTTTGGCCTCCCACTGCTCCTTCACTGCCAAATTGTTTGTCAACCCTGAGAAGAATCACCAGTTTAGGGCCCAGTACAGAGATCCAAGTGCTCCTACATGAATGCAGGGCTTAGAGGATTTTATTTCAAGTGAGTTAAGGTCCAAGGCACTAGAAGCAGTGAGGAGTTTTGAGCTCTGTCGTCAGCAAGGGCAGGAGATAGTGATATGGAAATGGAGGTCGGGGGAGCTGGGGCTGGAGAGGGTGAACCCTGGGCACTGAAGTGAGAAGCCAGGACATAGGTGACAAACGTTGCCTATTTACTAGACATG